CCCCCCCCGAAGTACAGTAGTCAAACCTTGCTTGGAAGACAAAATCAGTCATTTCCTTGTGGGAATTGTTACTCTGCTTTTTTATGGTAGTTTCTGAATGCCTCAGAAACATTTAATGTATTGTTAGTTCTGAGGAGGTGATGTGATATCTCCACTTTATAAATCAGGAGTGAAGGCTGCTGGTTGAAGCACAGGTCTGAGAGTGTTTGTTAATTTGGGATCCCATTCAATGACCTGATTTCTTGGACTAATGAACTTCGTGTGATCAAGGCAAATTTCATGTTGTTGATTTCAGTGGCATTAGTGAGTGCCCAGGAGCTCTGCAATCTAGGCCTCGGAGCTTGAACCTGAAGACCAAAGATATAAGGAATAATTATTTGGTGACCAACTGAGTCAAGATTTAGCATAAAGGGCTTCCCTAGCAGCACGTAAGAACTGTGGAGCAGAGGCTAACATACAGTACTTTCTCCAAGGATGATACTCGCTTCCAGTTGTCCGGAGCCTCTTTCTTCTGATACTACTATGCCTTTGAATATCTGGAATAAATGAGGCAGCACTCCAGTGAGTGTTGATCTTTCTAGCTGCACTTCTGATCCTCAGAACAGATACCTACTGACAAGTTAGAAAACGGATCATTTATTTAAAGAGGATACTCAGAGAAAACAGTCCAAACCACTTCACCTTTGACAGCCTGTCCCAAGTTTTCCTTGTTATTGCACGAAATAAGATAGTCTATGTATACATTAAAAATGTGCCCATATTTTATCTTACAGTAGTCATCTGATGAGAGTACCTGAGTCAGTCTCTTCCTTCAGCTTAATATCCTGCTATGTACTCTTGTACTTGAAAATAGCTCATCTTTGTTCAAAAGTGATCTATAGTGTTAGCTCAGCGACGTTGGTTTACGACACTGGGTGGTGTTGCTGAGAATTTAAAACTATCCCATTAGCCTGTTTGCAGTATAAAATAGGCCTCTGCATTTTACAAGCTTATGCAGTGTGGCGACATTCTGGCAAGTGTAAAGGAAAAAGGTGTTAAGGAGAGCTGGCAGCTCCTTAAAGAAAAGATATTAAGTGCAAACTCTTCCCATAAGGAGGAAAGTTACGGAAGTGCAGGAGAAGACTAGGGTAGCTAAATTGTCAGCTCTTCCTGGCCTCTGAAGAGAAGACGTTTTTTACAGAGTGGGAAGTAGATCAGATTTCCAGGAACAAGGATAAAAAAAAATAGCACATAGGGACAATAAAATTAGAAGTCTTGAGGCACAAAATGAGATGAAAGTATCCAGGTGTGTAACAGGTGTACATTAGTCCTGAAAGAAAGACTGAAAGAAAATGTTAGAGGGTGAAAGGGGTCAACAGATGGTATTGGGAAGGCCAAAGCGTCTTTTGTTTGTTTGGGTCTTTCCCAGTAAAGCGGATACTGCTGCTACTGATAACATGGGGGACTGTACTGCCACTGCTACCCTGGGTGGGTAGGTAGGGGCCTGGGTGATAGAAGATCTCACATACACAGGTGAGTGTGTCTGTACAGCCTGATATCTACTGAATTGTACACCTTCCACTCCCACCCACCAATGTCTGGAGGACATTACTGTACAATACCTGAAGTACTGTTTGAAGCTGACTTGGAAAATGTTTGAGAACAGTCAGTCCGCTGTTGGAAGGGAAGCATGAGCTGGGAGGATCCAAGAGGTGGCTTCTTTGCAAGTGCTGTTCTGTACTTTTGTTAATGGGTTAGGTATTAGCACTGAGTGCAATAACAATTTATATAGAAGGCACTAAGCTGGTAAGGGTGAAAGATGCTGTGAAAGAAAGGGCTACAATTCAAAGTGGTCTTGATCAGTTGGAGAAGTAATTGTAAAAAGAATGGTCACAGTTCAACAAGGACATGTTGTATATATGACTCTTAGGAGTAACCAACTTTAATGACAAAGACTGGAGAATAACTTCCTGAGGATTAATTATTGAGAAGAAAATCAGAGAGTTGCAGGGAAGCACAAGCCAGTACATGAGTCGACATTGTCATGCTGTGTAATGTAGTATTTTGGGGTGAAGAGAAAGGAATATAGCCTGCAGAACATATGGGGGGAGGAAAAAAAAAATCTTTCCTTGGCTGGAGTACCATGCCAAGTCTCAGGGACTATACTTTGAGAAAGATGTGAATCAACAAGACTATACAGAGGGACAGCAACAAGACTGAGCAAAAGATCCCAGATAACATGAGTGATAAGTACATATTGAGCAAATTTGTGCTATTTGGGGTAGGTGGCAGCAATATGATTAGTGGTTATCATAGCCTTCTGTATATATGGGCTGCTGCAAAGAGGGAGAGAATAAACTGTTTTCTATGCCCATGTTAGCACAAAGACTAAAACCCGTGAGTTCCAGAAAGAGAAATTATGCTACCAAATTATGCTACAATGTTAATAGCAGTTCAGCACTGGAAGGTTTTGTGTGGGGATGCTATTGAATCTCCATTTTTGGAGGCCTTCAGGAACATTTTAGGAAACATCCTCTGACAATAACATAAGTTGTAGTATATTCTGCTATGGGGCTGGACATTTCCTGATGCCTATTCCAGGCATAATTGTGGCGTTTTCTGACATGCTTCCTCTTTCATCTTTTTTGTCCTTTTACTCCTTGGTGAATATCACTATTTGCTGGATAGGGATTTCTTAGTTGGTGAGGGGGATTAAAATTTAGCAAATAAGTTATGTCATCTTGGTACAGAACTTAATTGGGGCAGTGCTTTAAACTGCTATGTTTGACTACCTGCTGAAGCTGTAAGCATCCCAGTCCACAACTTCTTAGTTGAACAGAACTTCATGAGAGTTTTCCTTATAGACAAAGGAATGGTACTTGATTTCTAATCAACATACTTTCTGAAGACTTTTCAAATGCATATAACAGCTTGACGTACCAGCTGTCACCAGAAATCGTGTCCCCCACCGACACCTGTGTGCGGTGTGTTGGCACTCATGTCACATGGAGAGGGAGTGTTGACAGGTCCTATTGCTAGTCACCTCAGAAAGGGAGAAAGAAGCCAGGGTCCAGTGAAACAGAACTGGCAATCACAGAACATCAGGAAGAGCAGAACCAGAACAGTCTGAGCAAGGACTTACTGGAGTGGCCCAGGGCTTTTTTGCAAGTCCAAGAGGAAATGCATGCAGGAAAAGAGAAATTTTCTCTAGCCTCATCCATGTTTAGCTTGGTGTTTTGGACTGATTTGAACCTCTCCTGTGAGACAGAAGTGCAATGCCATTCTTGGCCAATCTTTCCAGGTTCCAGAGTCTCAAGTAGCTCTAGTTGCATTTGTGTGAAAACTGAACCATGTTTTCTTTTGATTTAGAAGCCGAACTTGGTTTCCAAACCAATGCTTGACAGCATCCTTTGTCTTCGTGATGACAGATGGAAGTATGTCCGGAGCCTCCTGACCCCAGCCTTCAGTGAGACCAAACTGAAAGAGGTAAGGTGTAGGCTGTGTTGCTTTCCTAATTTAGAAGACATAATTGTTTTCTTTCTTGCAAGCATCTACTTTATATAGCTCTATATTAGGAACAGATAAAAACCTGCTACTTTGTGCCAGTTTATTTAGACTTTAGGAGCATATGCAGTTGAGTGTACATGCAGTGTGGTCCAGGCCATAGATTGGTGAAAATCAGAATAGTTCATCTGAGAATATGGTCCTCGGTCTTTATATAAATGAGTTTGTCCATAAAAGTGTAGCAAACTCAAAAAGGAGCCTTACACCTTCCCCCGCCCTGTTAAAAGTAAGCTAAAGTGCAGGAAAGGTTATTGCTCCCAGTTGGAACATAGCTTTTTGTGATTTGCAGAGTCAGCAGCTCTCACATTAACATGGGAACTGCTGTCAGTCTATTTTCATTTCTCCATCTCCTTCCCCCTTTCCTCCTTTTATTCTTTAATCCTTTCATGTAATAAAATAAGTCACTGGAACAGAATGTCATTGCCAGATAAATACCTCTGACTGAAAATAAATGTCTCTGTGCTGACCTGCTGCTAATTTTCCTATAAATGTCTCAGCATTTACTTAGCCATGGGAACCCATTACCTGGTAACAAAGTCCTCTTCCAGTGGTACGATATCTCTTAATTAACACACAGATAAATGATTGACTGCTTAAAGTCTTCTTTCAAGGGGGGAACAAAAAACCAACAACAAAAAAACCCACCTCTTCTTTTATGTATTTTATTCTGAAAGGGAACCATGCCTCACTCCGGTGCCCAGTCCTGGGTTGTAAAATTTTCCACTGGGCAGACGCTTGTGTTGTTTTGACATGCCGCTGTCGAAATCCACAGTAACATCTAAATGTGTCTGGCTCTCCCAGCTCTATAGACAGCGGTCGCTTAGCAACGCCGGCTGTCACCTCCTTATTATGGTAAATTCTAATTGGCCGCCAGCCTGGCGGAGATGCTGATTAATCACGATTGACAATGCCATTGGTTATGCGCCCCAACATTTGCTCTGTCACCGGCTTCATCGTGAAATTTTAGTGAAGCAAAGATCCTTAAATATGCAAGCGATTAGTGGCTCATGGCGTGGTGGGGAGAGGAGAGTTTTGCATTTTCCTAGAGGAAATTAATCTGCCTTACTGCAGGTCATCGGCTCTTTGCTGGTGGACTAACAAAAGATAAAGCTGCGCTCCCCTCAATTTGTGGAGAGCAACCTCTGCCGGCTCTAGCACCGCAGGCTTGATGGAGGAGAGTGGTGAGGGCGAGCAGGTGGAGGCCCTGGGCGTCACGCTTTGGGGCTGGGCAGGCATGGTTTTGCAGGTTTTGACCGATTAAACTGAGGTGGGAGGAGAAGTCAAGGTGCTCACTTTGCACTGCTTGGTGGTGGAGCTGCAATGCAGGAGTAGCGGTAGGAGGTAAAATGGAGGGCTGGCTAGTGCTTGGTAGATGTCTCACATGCAAAAATTCAGATCTTTATTTTTAGCCTCATAATCAGCTTTCCCTGTGCTGCTTCTTCCAAACTCCATGGAACGGAGGTGATTGTGCATGGGCTCAGGGTCAATTTGGAAATGGTCACTTCCTCCTCTTAGTCTACAGAAAGAGAAAAAATGAGGAGTGGGGAAGGTCTCTCTGAAAGGCTCAACTTTGTTCCTTTGTCCCATGTCTTCACCAGAAGACCATCCATCCCTACACAGGGAGACACTTGCAGTAAGTCCATGTGAGATTAAGAACCTCTTTTGAATGGATGCACTCCTCATCCTTGTATTTCCTTTTCTACCCAAATACATGAACAGTCCCGGGATTTGAAGTTAATGCAACTTAAGTCCTTGCCCATGTGTTTTTCTTGCTTGCCTAATTTAGAAGCCATACCAACACTTCTCAAAGGAAATCAATGCTCATTAATTACAATCTCACTTTTTAACTCTCCCATGTATTTAGTACTCTCTCGAAACCTTGACAGCAGCATGGAAATAAAAATACCATGTTGTAGTATTGGCCATACTACAGAGTATTCAGAGTTAGGTAGTTATGTATCCTGTTTATAATAGACTCTTCCTCTCTACCTCAAAAGAGTTAAATAAGTTAGTTTTTATATTCCTTTATTGCATAAGAACCTGGATATGTTGTTTTATACGTATGTATAAATACTGTTAGACACGTTCCTCATTTCTTCCCCTAAGCCACTGATTCCTTTGCCACAGAGATTTGAGCTCTGACAAAACCCCACATCAAAGTCTTCCTCTCTGTTCACTCTGGATGTCTGCCTTACCTTTGTTCCCCTATGTAACTCCCCAGTGATGCTGAAGAGACTGAAGACCTCCTGAGTGGCTTTGGAGAGTGGTTCCCCTTGAGCGCCACAGTCCCTAATGCCACTCCAAATGTAGACTTCCCTGTCTGGATGCTCTGAGAGAACTGGGAGCGATTAGCCTGTGACAGAGCAATAACTGTTAACAACTCCTTGTGCTCCCCATAGCAATCAGTTCAGATAACAGATGCACGGAGTTGAGTGTAGGTTCCTGTTATCTCCATTTCAGAAATGCAAGAATCTACTACTAGGCTAAAGGACAGCTTCAGCACTAGCAAGAACAAGAAACCAGTCATCTACTCTTTGGTGTGGCTGCTGGAGGACAAAACTCAAGACAGAGCCAAATGTATGTTGCTAAGTTTTGACCTGCAATGCCCCACAGAGGTATCTAACTGCTGTGACTGGGGACAGAGGTGTACTTTGCCCTTTTCTCTCCACGGAAGTGGTGTAGTGTCACTGAGAAGTTCACTAAGCTTGAGGAATTTCCCCTTAGTTTGGCAAAAATCTCCAACAAACACTCACCAAATGAGGAAAAATTGATCCCAGAAATTTTGAACTTTGCAAAGTTGTGAGCAATTAACTGAAACTAGAGGCTATAGAGATGTTGGGTAGCCCATGTAGTGATTGCTACGTGTATGCAGAGAGTTGTTTTCCTTTCAATTTTAAAGATTTTCTGGCATCTTCTCCAGCTTTCTCTCTCTGTCTCCTCAATTTCTCTTTAAAAGCTGTACACTGTTTCACTGTTCCATTTTAGGATTTCCTTACGTTGCGTGTTCTTCCTTCTTAATTTTCTTTTTCTGATGAGTATGTAAATATTAGTAAAGCAGTCCATTCCAACTGAAGGAAGGTTTGGCTCCTGATAACATTAAATTCAAATACTATAGTGGTGGGCATAGCATAAATCAATAGACTTCTAAGGTTCATCCTGCAGTAAGATTTGGTAGCATACCACATGAGATGCCACTGGAGTTAGTAGTAGATCTGATAATAAGCTCTTTCCAGTGAGACACATGAATGGACCTGATAATGCCATTGCTATGTGAGCACCAAGAACAAGAAATGAGAGATAGGAGGCAGGAGACCCAGGAAGTTTCACTTCCAGCTCTGCCATTGTCTGCCTGTGGGTGATCTGTCAGAAGCTACTTAAATTCTCTGTGCATAAAATGCCTTTCATCTGTTAAATGGGAATAATACCGACCACTGAAAGTTGATCCAAGATGTAATTAATGAGGAACTGATGAAGTAAAATACCTGGAGGCCCCTAAGTAAAAGATGCATTTCCTGGTGTTCCTGTCATGCTCTCCTCAGCTATTATGTATTGAAACAAGCTGGTATGTTAATGATCTTGCTGTACCAATCTTGATTCCCTATTTAGTACTTCTTATTTTGTTCCTTTTCTTTTTGCTGTGGTGCCTGTGATGATCCTGCAGTTCTGGACCCCTTGTCAGACTTGATAAATAGCTTTGCTCTCTTTTGCAGCCAACACCAGCAGAAAACCTATTGATTTTTATTTATTCTGATGGTGCTGCAGTAGTCTTGTCATCTCCTATCAGTATGCTGGGAATCTTCTCTTCCATTAACCAACCATTAAAACAAAGCAGAACGCAAAAATTAAAGAAGAGAGTACAGCATAACGTAGCATTGTCCTAAATAACTTTCAAACTGGAGTTTGTGTTGAGGCATTTTCTTTCAAATGAAGGGAGACACAAAGCAGGACTTGTGGTAACATGGCAGAACAGTGCAGGAAAATCTTCTAGTGTCACTCACAGGCATGTAGGTCTGACAGTCCAGCCACTGAGGTTTCCTTGATTTGCTCTTACTCTGCTTGTGCACATTGGTCCGAGGCATTTTGGCAAGGTCTCTGGTAATTGTTGTTGATTCTCAGCAAAGCGAGTGTGCTCACCTGAGACAAGGCAAATCACTAACGTGAAAGCTGATATGTGAAACGTGCACATCCTTGAGCCACAAGTCAGTGTCTGGTTGAGTTGCTCATTTTGGTGAGTTGTACCCATGAATAACTGTGAAGTGATGGGAACACATCCTCTTATGCTCCCCACACACTTTTCCTGGTCTTGGTCAGGGACTTGAAATCTGGTACCGAAGCAATTCTTATGTTCGGGATATATCCTTTTTCCTTTTCCTTTCTTTATATTTCACCTCATTTGTGGGACAAGAGGCCCAACACAACTTCGGTGTATTGTATGTGAACAGTTAAGTCTCCAGTGTGTCTGTCGACAGTGAATATGATCCAGCCTTCTACTTTTACAATTTGGGTGCTAATAATAAGGAGAATAATAATAGTGAATACTGAGGACCACATCTAACTAGAGGAACGTGACTCTGATGCCTTTGAACAGTGCAAATATCCCCATGCACTGTGCATATGAAGAATCAGAAACTAATTGTTGTTATGTGCCAAATAGCACATTGGCAGAATTTATACAGCAAAGCCCCTGGCATCATGAAAACCCTAACCCCCGATGCTCTTCTTTGGCAGGAAGAAAGAAATTTGGACTCTGGGCTACTCTTGCTATTAGATAACTGGCAGATCAAATATTTACAGGGACCATATTGTTTAGATTTTTCTTCATCCTGTTACTCTCAGCCAATCTGAACACAGAGCAGCTGGGGTTTGTTTACCCACCAAGAACTGAATCTCAGGCAGGTTATGCAGCTTTTATATTCTGACTGGCAAATGAGAATGTACAGGAAGATCGTAGTACCCAAGTACCCAAGGTGCAGATCAACATGTCTGTTTCTGTGCCGGTTTTCAAAGTTTGGTATAGCTCACCTCCCCCAAAGCTACTTCATTTTTCTTGACAATTGAACAAAGAGTTTAAAGTGTTAAGGGACTTGAGAATGTTTCAGTCTGTGGTCTTTGTAGTTAGCAATCTTGGACTAATTTATGTCCCTCAGGAATAAAAACCCGAACCCAGAATTCCTGAGTAGATATCCCCTGTATCTTTCATACGCAAATAATTCTCATTGATATGACTCTGTCCTCTCATGCTAACAATAAATCAAATCCATGTGGCCCCTCCCCATTTTCCTGGTTACCTGGTTAGATTTACTAATAAAAATATCTTATGACTAGAAACAAATTGTAACAGTATTTTGAAAGACTGGTGGAATGTGGAAAGTGCAGAGGTACCATGAGATCCCCTGGCCAGGCTTATGTGCTCCTGCCATCTCTGCCAGCTGTTGGAAAGCAAGCACAACCAGCTGGGTGGTTGCAGGTCTGGTGATGTGATGAAGAATAAAAGGGAAAATAAAGCAATAAAATGAAAATCTGAAATGATCACCATCTGCTTAGGAAACATCATACCTGTTAAAATACGGATTTTCATTTTGTTTTCCTTGACTGGTTCAGTTCATTGGAGGGGCTGGACCCAGAGATTATAAAGCATTTCACCCTGGTTCAATCTGTTGAACAGAAATTTGTTAATTTTGTTAAACCATTTGAGAAGATGCTCACTACAGGGGACCTTCTTTAGAAAGCCAAAAGGGGAAGAAAAATGCCACATAATATGGTGTGCACCTCTCAAACACGTAACAGCTACTTTTACCAAATATCTGGCTTCAGAATTGTCTTGTGAGACTATGGCAAAGCCCAAATCATTGGAGCTTTGGACTGAAAAAGTCTCAACCTGCTCTGTCCTGTATAGGTACGGGACCTCAAGAGCAGCTAGACACATTCTTGACTCAGGCTTCTGCCTTTAGAAAACATGTTGGATGCTCCCACATTGGCCTTTTGACTGTGTATAGTCTTGCCCATGTGTTAGGATGGCAGTGTGCCTGTGCACAGAGTGTTATGCCAGTTTCACAGAGGTGCAAGTGCCAAGCAAAATGGACTTGGCTGGGCAGGCTGCATGGCTCTCAGAGTGTGCTGAGAGGCTGCAGTAGGTCTTTTTTGGTAACAAGAATGGCAGAGGAGTATGACAGGTCTGTTCTCATGTTTGTTGACATCTGTATGCTGAAGGAGGTCGTTCAAGAAGGAAAGGCAGGTTTCTGTGCATATGTCTGCTGATGCTTGGCATGATTTTTGAGGCAAGACTGTGGTATTAAATTGTGGGCTCTGAGGATCTCTTGGCAGTCCACGGGGAGAAAGAGCTACAGCAGATAATGCCTTCAGGGTCATGGCTGGATTGCTGCTACACACTTCCTCTGCCCCACTAGTAGGTGTAATCAAGGCAAGTGTCTGATGCCTTTCATATGTAAAAAGTTAAAGAGAGAGACTTAATGAGGTCTTGGTGGTTGCCTATGTCATGGTTTCCATGAAGTGCTAAAGAGAACATTATCACACAGTTAGCTAGAGCCAGGCTGTGGGTAAGTCTGCCTAACCATCATGTGCAAGTGACTGGAAAGAACCATTAGCTGGATAAACTCACATGACTAAATGGCATCACCACTCCAGAAAAACCTTTCCTCAAGTAACAATAGCGGTTTATCCTTAGCAACATGTACTGCTATACATGGCGCTTTTCTGATGTACACATTAAATCCCTTGAACTGATGGACAGCAGGATGGAAATACTGGGCCTATGATGCTAATACCTTTACAGGACTTTGAGACTATGGAAAATATTATTCCTTCTGCCCTGGAGCATATGTAGCCTAAATGTAATGTACTATAAATATGGGTCGTGATAAATCATCAGTTGGAACAGGGAATGATTAAAAAGAGAGGGGAATGTCTATGCTTGCTAGTTCCCTGTGTATATAGGGCAAGAACCAACGGTCAGGTAAGTAACTGGGA